AAAAAAAAATGAAGCATTTTGTACAAATCCCGATCGGCAAATAATTTAGCAGGTGAAACAGAAATGCGCTGTGTGTTTCCAGGAAGCAAGAGACTGCACCAAAAATGACGCGGCGCGGCTTGCAGCTCTGCCGTGATGTGCCTTCTGCAGAGTCATGTTGTTGGGAGGCTTTTTTTCCCCTCCACCCCCCCCTCTTCTGAATATGTTCTTGCTGGCTGACAGCCCAGAATAGGTAGCAGAGGGAAAACGAGGGCTGGTATAACATCTCCCAGTGATTTATGTGCCTGGCTGTGCCGCTGAAAAGCGTTAGGGTCTCTGGTCTTTTTTACCTTCAGCGTAGGAAAGCACCTTTGGAAGTTCAAGGTGACGTTGGCTCGTTCCTCTGTCTCCCTCCGACCTCAGCCTGCGGCTGCTTGGAGATGTTTTTTCTGTTGCGTAGGATGCTACATGAGGTTGTGTCAGCCTTTCTTTTGATGTGCCTTTTGTTCTTGGTGTCTTGTCTCTGCTGGCATGACTGACGTTAAGTCCATGAACCAGAGGTCTTCTGGAGGAAGTGGAGGTCCTGCTCAGTAGACGGGGCTTCTCTTGGGGACGGAGCAGCCTCAATGCAAAGGAATTAAGGGAATAAAGCCCTGGGATTGGAAATAGGCAGAGATAAACAGATTTGTAGTTATCATCTGGTCAAGCTGGGTGCAGTTCGGTGTCTAAAAACTGGAGACCTTTTACCTGCATCTGATGCAATGAGGAACTGAGTTACAGCAGATCCCCTCGGAGAGCTGAAAAACACCACTGGGTTTTCACTCCTGTTGCTGATGCGTCTGGTTTAAAGTGGGTTCAGATGCGGATGGAGGCTTGAAGCAGACCATCCCTTGCGGTCTCCCCAGACCCTATGCTTGCGTAGGGCCATAAGAACCCATGGAAGGGCTGAGGAATAGTCCGGTAATGCCTGCTGGCTCGGATTTCGTCCTGGTTTGCGTCACTTAGAAAAGGAACTATTTGAACAAGTGCGGATTAGTAAATACAGAGGAGGAAAGTTTTACAGGTCAGGGCTGCCACCTGCGTGTGTTTTCTGTCTGCTCAGCAAGTGCCGGGCTCGTGCTGGAGCCTCTCAGCCTTGAAATGCAAAGCTGGTCTGAATTCTCCTGGGCTGGCCAGGTAGCACGTACCGCTGAAACACAATTAGCAGTATTTACCGCCCTGGGAGGGTTGCAGTGTAAATGGTGCTTAGTCTCGCCGAGAAGCGTGGTGTCAAATTTAAGGAATTATGATCGTAGCTGGCGATGGGTCCAGAGACTGTGCTGCCCACTGCACCGGTTCTCTTCTGCCCCAACTTTGCTGAGCTCCTTGCCCTGCAGGTAGAACACCTCTGCAGCCTTGAGATGTGCTCCGTGATCCTGCAAGGGATCGCGGGGACGCGCTCCGTGATCCTGCAAGGGATCTCCGGCATGTGCTCTGTGATCCTGCAAGGGATCTCCAGGATGTGCTCCGTGATCCTGCAAGGGATCTCCAGGATGTGCTCCGTGATCCTGCAAGGGATCGCCGGGATGTGCTCCGTGATCCTGCAAGGGATCGCTGGCAGAGAGGGCTCTGGTCGCGTGCTGTTGTTGACTAACGCCTCCCGTCTGTCTTCCAGCTGCTCATGCTCCTTGGCACTGCTGATGGTCAGTCAAAGCAGACCTCCGAGCAGAATGCCATCAGCCTCTCCCCTGGCAAGTACCGCCACTTTGACCATGCCACCAACGAAGAGCTGATCTGCGACAAATGTCCCGCAGGAACCTATGTGTCTAAACCTTGTACGAAGAGTACCTTAAGAGAGTGCAACCCTTGTCCGGATGGGACCTTTACTAGGCATGAGAACGGCATAGAGCGGTGCCACCCTTGTAGAAAACCCTGTGAACTGCCAATGATTGAGAAAACTCATTGTACTGCCTTGACTGACCGCGAGTGCACTTGCCTGTCAGGTACGTTTCAGACAAACGACACCTGCGTCCCTTACACGGTGTGCCCGGTCGGCTGGGGCGTCCGCAAGAAAGGAACCGAGACGGAAGACGTTAGGTGCAAGCCGTGCCCTCGTGGTACCTTTTCTGATGTGCCTTCTAGTGTGATGAAGTGCAAAACATACACTGACTGCTCTGTGAAAAACATGGTGGTCATCAAGCCGGGGACAAAGGAGAGTGACAACGTCTGTGGTTCTCCAGCGTCTCTTCCGAACACATCTTTGACTTCGTCAAGCACCGAAGCCGGTGAAGAGCCCTATGAGGTTCCACCAACCACTCATCTTCCCAAAGGTAATGTCTACCACTAAAACACAAACGTGTTTTTGGTCATGGAATTGCGTTCCTGCCTCAGTCAGGGTTGGTTTTAGGCTGTTAAAGGGCAGCCTGGTCTAAAGAGTGGATGGTGCTTTTGCTTCTTGACCAGAAGGCAACTCCAGAGTGCATCAGATTGCTTTCACTTATGTTAAACCAAATTTAATAACACTTTCACTGAGACTGTAGTCATGATTGGACTCCTGGCTGTCCCACTGCTTGGACTGAAAGGACATCGTGTTCCCCAACCTCTTTTCCCGTCTGTGTGTTGTGCTGGCACAAGTCTGTGAGCGTTTGTGGCAAATCTGAGTTGGGATGCAGCAGGAAAACCCAGGAGAGAGAGGAGCTTCGCTCCACCAGACTCCTTCCCTGGTGGATTTGTTGCTTCCATGCCCTGCTACGTTTCGCCCTGTACTGTGCCAGCATATTGGCTTGAATGGCAACTGTTGTCGAAGCAGCTTGCCAGGAGCCTAGGCTGTCTCATAACTTTTTTTTCTTCACTCTCTAAGATTTCTGTTAGTTATCACCGGTGAGGAGAACTAGGTTGAGTTTGCCATTCTCTCACTTAATTGGAAATGCCACATCATCACAGTCTTTATCGAGGTGCTCTAGCTGTGGCTGGTTGCAGTGGTGCTTTAGGACCCCATTTGAGGTGATGCTCAGCACTCACTGGGAAGCAGCTTCCTTGCAGTGTCTCAGATGAGGCATTTTAATTAAAAAATGCAACTTTTGATGGCCTGAACCCTCGACTTGGTAAACACAATAGTAGCGAAGCGTTGACGGTGGTAGACTCCCAGTGCTTCTCCTTTGTTAGCTCTCAAAGCTTGATATGACGTCCATTGGGAGAGGACAAGAGGGTGTGCCCTGGACTTTGAAATCGGCTCTAGACAATTAGGTGAAAGATAGTGTTTTCCCTGTCTGTATCCTGGTCAGAGTGTTTTGGGTAACCAAGCCAGAGGCAAAATCAGGGTAAAGATGGTTACACCCACTCTTGGGCTCAACTGGGATGAGACCTGATCTTCAAAAGCTGAATTTCCAAAGTAGGCACCAGTTTTTGCCTCCAACAGCCCATCCTCTTCTCACCAGGCTTTGGTCACGCAGCTGGCTGGGACCTGAGAGCGCCTGGTTGAGAAGAAAACTCAATAAAGATGGAAAGTAGCTCTTAGAGGGAAGTGGAGTTGCTTCTGTTGCTTCAGTAACCTGTTTCGTAGTTGACTCATCTACAGCTGCTTGCAGTGCTGATAAAGAAGTTTGTGCTTCCTTAACGAAACCCAGTAGAGGGATACTAAGCCTCCAAAGTTTTGTGTGTTTCAAGCCCAAATACCACAATCTGCAATCGGAGTAAAACTAATGTTCAGAAACCCAAGAAAGAAAACTCAACTCCCTCAAAGTCACAGGTTTTCTGAGAAATACCGAGTGTGGGACAAACACAGATTGACAGCATGCCTTTAATAACTCATTTTTTTTTAAAGAGCTACCACTAACCTTAACCAGCAAGGGTCAATTTTATCTTGACCCTACCTCTGTAACCGTACCCATCCGTTCCCAGAGCCAAACCTCCGTTTCACCTCTTCCCTTTCCAGCTGCCTGGCGTTGGGTTTCCGTCTGCTGGCCAGGCAGGTGCGCAGGCAGGTCCTAGACTGTGACATGATGCCGTATCGGGTCTCCGGTGCTGTGACACTGAACTCTCCTCTCCTTTTGCAGGTTTGAACTCTTCAGTTCCTGATGTTGTCCCCTCTCCTGTGCCACAAACATCCAGTGGTACGACGGAGCTGGTGGGCTACTACAACAAAACCTCGGCCAACGAGACGGACAGCGCCCGTGGGACCCTTGCGGACTCCAACACTGCTGGCCAGGCGCAGAGCTACCGGCACAAGCAGACCAGCCGAGCGCTGGAGAAGCAGCCGTTGCTGGAGATGTCAGGGGGCGAGAAGTCCAGCGTCCCATACAGGCCCCCCCGACGAGGTCCGCAGAACGTCCACCAGCACTTCGACATCAATGAACACTTGCCATGGATGATCGTCCTCTTCCTGCTGCTGGTCCTGGTGGTTATCGTCGTCTGCAGCGTCAGGAAGAGCTCACGGACTCTGAAGAAGGGACCCAGACAAGATCCCAGTGCCATTGTGGAGAAAGCTATTATGAAAAAGTCCACCACCCCCACACAGAACAGGGAGAAGTGGATCTATTACTGCAACGGGCACGGTGAGCAGTAGCGACTGGGGGCTGCAGGGAGTAGCGTCCTCTGTGCTGTCCCACGCGGTGCTTTGGAGGGGCCACCCCAATGTCCAATGACTGTTTGCTTTTCCGACTTGCTGGGTCTTATAGCAAGGACAAAGCCCCATACACTGTTTCCTCAGATGTTTCTTCACCCTTGTCTTCTCCCCATCCCTGTTGCCATGGTGTGTCCCAGCTCCTGAAGGAGGAGTTAATGGAGGGAATGTCATCTGCTCATCCCAACTCCTCTCCTCCTTCCCACCCATCCTTGGTAGAAGGATCTTGAATGAAGGCTCTTTCTCCGTCTGTCCCCTGGCTGTGTCTCCCCCCCCCCCCCATTCATTCTCTCCTTATTTTCTCGTTGACTCAGATGTGGGTCTGGTTGTCTTTTCTGTTATCCTTTTTCCCTCAGTCTGTCTGTTTCTAGAAGGCTGAGTCATCCCCCACCTCTTGGCAGTGCCTCAATTTCAGGTTCTTAACCCTAAATCCTGACTGCTGACATGTGTCCCCAGTCCTTTGCCCACGCTGGAGCCAGGAAGGTTGACCTTAGAGGCTGTGTTGTGGAGGCGTACAGCTCCATGAGTGTTGTGAAGTCTTCCTGGAGGTTCTGCTTCGTAGTGTTTTCATCACAGAATCATGGCATGGTTTAGGTTGGAGGGGACCTTTAAAGGCCATCTAGTCCCACCTCCCTGCAATGAGCAGGGACATCTTCAACTAGATCAGGTTGCATAGAGCCCCTTTCTTGTTCTTTTGGTGGATGACTTGCTGTCAGTTTTTTGATGAGACTTTAAAGATGACCTGTTGTGGTCATTGAACTGAAATTTGTAAAAATCAATGATAAATTAATGGTGGCATGAAGGTGAGCGCCAGGCAGCTGCGATCTCCGTAGCAGGATGCATGGTTCTTCCTCTTCAAAGCTATAGTGGCAATTTTGATCCCCCTTATCCTGTGCAGACAGCACGGACGAGTCCTGACTTTAGGTTGAGGTTGCTCAACCTTAAACATTTGTTCACAGTGAACCTTTAGAAGAGGAGATTTAACAAGGGGGAGGCCGCCAAACAAATAATGGATTGAAAAAAGATTGAAAGGTTTCGGAGAGATCAGTGCTCCATGAAAGTCGTTCTGGGGTGCTTAAGTACAAAGCAAAGAAGGCTTTGAGTAGGGCGTCTTCTGTCATGTGCTCTCTTCTCCTTCCTGC